CCCCACCCTGCACAACAGCGCTCCAACCTAGATCAAAAGATAATCCGATTGTAGTTCCACCTCAGCTCTCAACTCTTATCTTATTATAATTGATTCACAGGGAACTCAATAATCAAGTGACAACCACAAGGTCGTCTGAGCCTGCTGAGGGGAATGATCGATGTTGTCGCGTAAACGCGCCACAGACTTCTGTGACAGGGCGTCAGACTCAAGGAAATAAAGCCTTGAGGTACACAAGCAGCGATCACACACAGCCAAGGGTCACTAACCAGATAATATGGCTTAAGTTCAGGAGGCATGACCGAGTGAGACGGCTCACTCGCAAACCTGCGTCCAAGACAGAGCCCTCGTCACGATGCCTAAACATGGACCAAAACAGGAGAGACTGCTTAGAAGAGATTCATTAAAATTAACCAATTCGCCTTAAAAAAATGCATCAAGAAACTGCTGACGATAATTACCGACGTAATAACATTAATTGGAACTTCTAGCACTCATTCACTTCAACTTACACGATATCTAACACAATTACTCAATTACATCTATATATCGCAAAAATAGACAAGTCTAATTAAAAGCACGAGTTTGACATTTAAAACGATGGTTTCTTATGACACACAGATGTAGTATGAAATACACACAAAACGCTCAAAAGAGCCGTTTTCACAGAATGCTTCATGAAATTAAAGGAAACCATCAGACATAAACACGTTCTTCTACAAACCACGCAAAACATCATTACATATGCAGTTTAAACCGGCAGTTTAAAGTTTCTCAGCTTCTACACTCACACGTGAAACAACGCTTTGTCAAATATAGTTGTATAAGAATTCCTGTCAAGACCAGGCACTGATGAACTCTGTACTTTGTAGGACTGCTGGATGTAGATAATTCACACAAACAAGATATTCAAACTTTCACATGGACAGTAGTGTTTCTCCGCTTTGATGTCCCTGATGTAATTTTATTAACAAAATGAAAAACTAAAACTGAAAACATCTGAGGTTAGGTCAGAGAGGCACTCAACAACACAAGACCCCTTTAGGTCAGAGAGGCACTCAACAACACAAGACCCCAGACCACAAACCCGACCCTAGTCATACTGGGAACTCTGGTTCCTTCCATTAACCATACTGGGGACACTGGTAGTAAGTATTAAAGCCCAAGCCCACAGTGACCCTATGTCTAACACAATCTTTGCTCTCCGCTAACCACGTGGAACTCCTGAGCCCTGAGGAACCTTTTCAAAACAGGTCCGTTGAAGGTCCAGAGTAATCAGCTTTGTTCATCCCAGAATCTATAAAGCTAAAGCAAAACATGTTGAGTATCTGCAGAAGTGGACAGTGTTCTCCAGGTTCTCTCACTCTGGAGTTTGCTTATAAATGGCACATCTCAGAGCATCTTTTCTTTTCTTTTTTAAAATCATTATGTTTACAGTTGATGCTTCCAACTACAATGCAGTTCTTCAGTAGATTCATGCCAACAGCCTGCATGAAGTTCAAGGTCTACGATCTTCTACAGTGGAGTTCTAGAACTAACTCAATTTTTCCTCACAGTGATTGATGCATATTCGTGAATTACAAAGACGGTATGAAAATATTGGTGACAACAGCACCTGAGTGCATTTCAACTCCCCACGGACAACCGTAGAGTGTCTCCACGGCCCAGACACATGATTGGCCGTCTTTCTTATCACAGCACATGCAGACAAGTGGCCGCCCTACAGTGTGGCTTCAGGGTTTGGCCAGGTCGTAAAATAGTCTACAGTCTGTGGTCCTAATGAACTGCGTTTCATGTGCAGATGACAATTGTTTTCCTAGCCCCCTCCCCTTCACCAGGAAGGCTAGTGGAGCTCAGCATGTATACCAGAACGTTTATGCAGGTAGGTTGGGGAGGGGGGGGTGGTATTACAATGCTGTCTCCAGAACCTCGTGGGCTATGTCGCAGGTAGGAATGGTAGTCTCCTCCTTCGACGGCTCTTCGTCTTCCTCCTCAATCCTGCCTACCTCTTTGCGGTAGATCATTCCATTGCTCTCCTTTTGGCCCATCTGGTAAGGCTGTGTACCTATTGCCTTCGACTGAGACACAGACACAGAAAGACAGATACACAGACACACCTTCTGTTAACAATGGCCCGATCTCAATCTAGCAAACGGTGTGAGGATTTAAGTCCAAATTCAAAAGCGTAGCGTTACGAACATCTCCAGAAGTTTCTTTAAATTTCTTTAATGAAACGGAAACTGAATCGTAGGAGTCCGAGGGACAAACCTGTCCAGGCGGTGACCTCGGCTGCAGCGGAGTCACGCAGCACAGCTTTTCCTTGTAGCGTTCGGGCAGGAAGAAGAGCAGATTACCCAGCACAGGGTACACAGTGCCAGGAGCAACATCCTTCTCCTTCATGGGACCTGGACCAGAGCACAGGAGTATCCGCTGAGCGGAACAGGATCCTCCCATCTGCCGTGTGTGTCCTGAGGGTGGGCTCTGAGGGCCGTGTTCTTTTTGATGGGTGGCAGTACAGTGCGGTGAGGGTGGGGGGTGTGGTTATGTAAGCGGAGGTAGGGGAGCAGCTTGGGGTGGATGGGCAGGTGGGGCTTACCCGTGAGCAGGCTGACGATCAGGCCGACCACAACCACGGTGGTGGAGTTGTGCACGCTGTACCACATGTACGACAGAGAGTATAAAGCCCGGACACCTGTCGGCCTGCTCCAGAAGAAACACCTTTTAGGGATCGTCGGGGATACTGACCATAGTACACATCGCAGGCTAAGAGCTACAGACTTCCTAATGCTTATTGGTGGCTTATTATTTCTAGAACAATGCGTTTATTAACACAATTGCTAATGATTTTTGCCAAAATTGCTTCTTACAATTCAGTTAACGGGTTTATAATTCAGCATTTTTCTACCATGGATAGTTCCTTAACCCTTGCCTGGATTTGGCTGTGACAGCAGTGACGATAGAGGTGAGGTTGCCGGCGTCGGGCCCGAGAGTTGGTGAAGGGGCTAGCTGGATGCGGGCCATGAAGCTGCCGATACCGATCCAGAAGGCCATGACCAGACCTGCCACCAACCCAGTTATGGCACCCTAGGGGGGAACACAACGACGAGGTCAGTTCTGAAGGGATGCACCACACGTTCACTCATTTTGAGAACAAGGCTGGTCTTCAGACTCATAAATCTGAAATCTCAACACAAATTTTGATACTCAGGGAGACACGACCCAAAGTCACTCTTCGTTCATTTTGGCTCTTAATCATTTAGTTGTAGCCGTTTCTTGTATGGGTACACATCATCGGCCAACTGAAAGGTAACTGAACCACAATGCATCTCGGCCAATGAGAAAAGACTTTCAAAGTTCAACAGCTGACCACTAGGCACTTACCACAGAGTTTGCCCATGGGAAGAACATTCCAAGGCAGAAAAGGCCCAGAAGTGGACCCCCTACCATCCCAAAAATACTGAGTGCCGCCTGGCAGATGAAGGGGGCGCGCCGTGGGGTGGGGAAGGGAGGGAGAATTTTATTTCAGTTTTAATGCCATCATTATGTTTTAGTTTCCATGCTCTGACAAGGACAAGAGGAAGGTACATGATGGAGAACAGGATTCCTAAGCAGGAAGGAGGTGCGACAGGAAGAGGAATGCATGCTACTCACTGCACCCAGAGGTGGATCGGCCATCCGACGGTCACCTTACCTGCAGTACAGATCCCATCTGGGAGGCTATGTACGCCATGGCAAGACACACCAGCCCATAGGACAAAGCTGCACCAGCAAACGGGAAGAAGGGAAGAGCCACTTAGCCTCAGGTTCCAGCCCCAGAAGGGGATGATCTATCATAACAAAACTGATCCACTTCATCATATTTCTAGATGGAAAACTTGTTAACAAAAGGTCAGAGGGCAAACAGCAAGTAGTAACTGAAAGAAAAGAAGGCTTATAGTTTAACATACTGGCAAATACAATAGGTCTAAGTAACCATAACACAGATGGGAAACAGTAATGAAGTTCCATAGTCCTTAGGGTATGTTACTAAGCATTATCAGATAGCCCAACAATTAAGGACATGCCAGCCAATTAAATGTAACTTGAAGTCTCAACTGGGAATGTCAGGTGGCCATCAAGCAGAGTTGAGTACAGTCTACTAAGCAATATTTTGGGCATCCGCCATTGTAGAGGTTAAGGAAATTAACTCTAGGTTTGTAGGTTTAATTCCCAGGAGGTGCTTTGCTGCGGATGCAGAACAAACATGGATGGTGCTAAACTGGGAGAATAAACCAGTGCTGACCGAGACCCTTGGACAGCAGCGTCGCCCTGGTCTCCGTCATCGTGGGGAAGTGGGGCTTTATCAGGTCCTCCATGGTCACCGTGGCCAGGGAGTTGAAGGCGGACGAGATCGTGCTGTGGAGGGAGGGAAACACAAATCAGCACAGATGCGGCAACACTGGGTCACAGCACCCCCCTCTGGTCAGTGAGAAGATTTTTAATTACAGTCAATTACAGTGAGTATGTAACATGTGATATAGGGTTTTTTTGTTTAAATACCAATTTTCTCTGACCTATAGAGTTCCGTCGCAGGTTTATCATTACAGGGGCTGTACCTGAGGGCTCCGCTGAACAAGCAGGCTACAAAGAGTCCAGGCAGGCCTGGCAGGTCTTGCAGCACGTCCATGACAAAGTATAGCACCATCTACAGGAGAGGAGGATACATAACAGCATAGCTAACCCCTTTCTAGAACATTTACACTCTTCACCTACAGTACAGATGGGTTTTTTTTTTTTTTTTTTTTTTTAATCCGGCTAGGCACAGAACCACCTGATTAATTTCGCTGTCATTAACAAATCCAAAGAGAACTCCTTCAGGACTATAAGTGAATGTCCCTGCCTTACATCTGTAATAGCTAAATATTTTATAAGTTTGGTTCCCAGAAACTGAAGGTAGGAATAGGTCAAAATTAAAGACGGATTATTTATTGATGGTGGGAGACAACCATAGGCCAAGGACCCTTGCTTCTCCCAAACACTTTGCACGGGCAGAACAAACAAGCCCATAATGTCTCATGGCTCCAGCCAAGGGACTTGGACTCACCTGGTCATTTGAGTGAACGTACCCCTTGTCCAAGGGGCTGTCCTCACCATAACGAGCAAACATCACCAGACCCATGAGGCAGCCCAGCGCCAGAACAATCTGCTGGCAGGGAAAGACCACGTAGCAGGACCTGAACAGAGAGATGCGAGGAGAAGGCTGAAGACTCAGGGAAACACGTCTGCGAGGACGGGACCATGTGGCAGATTCAAGATCACATTCAAGAACAGATCATGAATAATGAGTACAGAAGCCTTCCTTGACTATCTGATACACAGATATATTTCAAAATAGGACTTTTACAAATCGCAACTAACTGTTATACAAACCTGACAGATTGAATGAATAAGAATGCACAATCATTTTTACAAAGACTAGCAAGATTCTTGTAAACACAGTTTGATAGTACATTAAGCGATCCAAAGTTTATGTTCTGTGGTGAGAAAATTTTGATCCGAGCAGGTCTGTGTCAGATAAAACTGTCACTTATCCTAACCCAGTCCCGGTGGAGCCCCAAGACGGCCCACATTTCTGCTCCCTCCCAGCAAGAAGAACATGGACTGTTTGGGGTTCCCAGAGGAACAGTTTGAGAAACACTGTCCCAATAAGTCTTTTATAACCTCACAGTCAATGAGACACCCTCCAGGGAACAGGCCTTGTTACTTCAACAAAAGGCTTGGGTAATATTACGAGGCGGGGTGTGGAGGGGGCATGGTGCTCACATGATGGCCTCCTTCTCAGTGCGGGAGCTGAGGTATCTTTGCACTTGGGCCTGGTTCACCCCATACAGAGCCAGCATGAGGAAGATGCCACCCACTCCCAGCGTCCAGAAGGTGTGCCTCTCCAAGGGGTCAGGGTTCAAACTGCAGGGGAGAGACGCAACGCGGCTGCAACGCTCATTCCCATCAGATTCCCCATGGCCACAGCAAATCATCTTCTTCGGTTACAGCAAATGGCACCAAGGTCTAGCGTGGTTCTGAGAAACGGTCAATCCCTCGGGGTTGTGTAATGTTATAAAATGGAACAACACAGGAAAGGTCTGAACACCTTTCTTAAAAAAAATTGAATTTTGTAAGAGGTGAGAAGTGCTTGTTGGAGTTTTATTTACACAAAAATGCTCTGGGGGCGAAATGAAAAATGATTGGTTCAGGGAGATAACCAATCAGATTATAAAGGAGGCGGGTCCAATCAACTAGAGGAGGCGGGATCAAGACATCTGATTGTCTGACATCTGCCTGCTTGACATCTGACCAAGATCTGATTGGTTCTCTCTGAACCAATAATTTTTCATTCTATGCTCAGAACATTTTTGTGCAAGTAAAACGTGCCACGAGTGTGAGGAGTGCGTGGGGGAGATGTGCCAAGTGGACGGGACTCATGAGAGCCACTGGGATACTTACTCCAGGCCAGCTATGCGGCTCCCATTCTGAGCCTTCCTCCAGACCTCAGCGATGCCCCCAGCCTGATGGGCCCCCACCACTATGACCGCCAGCTGGCCCGCAAACATAACCACAGTCTGGAACACGTCCGTCCAGATCACGGCCTTCAGCCCACCCTGCGGTGAACAAAATGCAATAAGGCACATCACAGTGAAAGCAGAACACACGCACGGACTTCAAATACCCGACCAATTACTTTGGGGAAAGGTAAACACCCAAAAAGACACACTATACTGCATTGCCAATTTCTTAATGACTGGTTGATCTATAACTAAACCTAATACAATAGTTTACAGATAGACCCCCATTTTCTCCCAGACTCACACAGATAAAGGACTTGTTCCACAGTAGAGATAATGATCTTTAAAACAACTATATCAATTCCGAGGTAATAAGCCACTGTGCTTACATTTGTGGGGGGGGTAACAGACACAATGCAGTAAAAAATTTCCAGCAGTGTAGGTAACATGAACCGAACTGTAAGCACAAAGAGGCTCAGAAAAGGTAGAAAAGCTCACCAGTGTTGTGTACAGAGTACAAACAAGACCCATGGCCAGCACTGCCCCCCAGAGATGAAATCCAGTAACTGCAGAAAAACAGTACAAAGCAAACAAAATACCAGTAGTAACTTAATAAGACAGAAAAACGATATAGGTTAGACAGAAATGCAAGACAAATTACAGCAGTCTTTGATAGGACAAAATAACACAGATTTTTTTTTACTATTTTTACTATTTATTTTTCCGACACTCAAGTGAAACCCTGTAAAACAACCACATGATTCTGCACATTGGCAAGGGGTCTGCAGGAGGACAGTGCTTTGACATTGCAGCAGGGGGCATAGTGATTAATGCACAAAATTTTTGACTGAAAGTTTCAAACATGTCTCATTTGCCGCTGCTGCAGTGTCCGTGGCGTTCGTTACCTGCATTGAGGGCCAGTGCGGGGGCGTACAGGACCACACCCATGTAGACCACCTGCAGGGGGCGGCGGAGAGGGGGTGTCAGACCCAGACCTGGCTCCACAAGAGTTCGATTTAACAATATTTTTGTTTGATTTTTAAATAGGCAAGAATAAAAAAAAATACAGTGCATACACAAATGATAAATGATACCAGTTATTGTACTATTTTAAACTTAAAACTTTAAAATAATTATTTGAAAACAAACGAACACCAACAAAATCCAAAGAAAAAGAAAGGAGGCAAGAAACTCTTTTTCACATGCGATACCCAAGTAGAGCAGAACTGCAAAAATCATTCAGGTTTTAAAGTGCAGAAAATACACATATTTATTTACAGGGGGCCATTGATTGTCCATAAAATCTGTTGCTTTTTTACATATTTTAAGAATGGTCTCCATGCATTCTCAAATGTTTTTAGTTTAGCTCTCATAATGTATGTAACCATTTCTAGAGGCAAACTAATTAGCATGTTTTATCCAGTGTTTAATATTTGGGCTCTTCAATGAATGAGATACCTTTGACCATTTTTATCTTTTTACTATTTAGGAGAACTCAGTTAACCATTAGAGAACAGCACAAGGTGATTTAAGGTCTTCACTTGTGTCAGCTAATGCCACAACTTGACTTAAATTGGAGCATACCTGGTATTCCTCCAAGTGGGCACTGCTGTTGTACCTTTTAAGAGGTCAAACTGCATGTAAGTGAGCCAATCAGAATAAAAGTGCCGGTGATGTGTGCCCCTAGTGTTTGCCCATGTACGTGACCGAGCAAGTCTGAGCGCGCCCCGGAATGAACGCATGACTGGGAATAAACCTTATTACCCAACACGCTCTGCCACCTGCGTTCAGACTCCGACTGGACAGATTCGGCTCAGTGCATCCGAATGTGCACCTTCCACATAGCGAGTATAATCAGGATTCATAAAAAAGGGGTCAGCTGAAGGTCACCAGGGCAAACCCTCATACAGTCCAATATTACAGCTGCATAGAAGAGCAAGAAAACACACTACACAACGCCTTCATTAAGGCGATGGTGTAGACTACATAGACTGACTCAGCATATCAGAAAAATAATGAATGAAATAATGACCTGTGTGGTTGGTTCTACAGGTCTATGGGGTTGACAAGATGTATATATGCTGCACTTTTTGTTATTTTGAATAATTGACTTCTTAGGTCCTTGCTTTGCTGGACGATGTCGTGTAGCTCTTGCTCCAATATATGAAATACCAGTACAGAAACGGAGCCTGGCTCCTGGCCACACTGCTGCTTATGCTGGTGGAGGTCGGTGTAACCCTCTGCACTGAGACCAAAGGCCGGCATGGAGTACCAGACCTGCCAAAGGGAAACTCGCAACTACCGCGATGCTGGCGGAGGCTTTAGCCACGGGGCCCCCGGGGAGGGAACTCCAACGGCCAAGGCACTCACCATCTGAAAGATGAAGGTCACGGTGCCACAGATCCGCACGGCTTTGCTGAAACGCAGCTCGAGGTACTGCAGAGG